TGACCCGGGGCGGTTATGTGCACTTAGTTAGCTACGAATCGTGCGTGGACAGCCGCTCGTAACATGATACGGTGCAAGATGTTGAAGATGCTTGACTACGTAACTTCAGCCTGACCGACTGAATTATGCAGTCAAGATCAACACCTAGTTTTGAATAATGTAAGCTGTAGGCTGATAATTCTAGGGAAGTGCTTTGGATGTCATCGTTGTCTTACATCACACTTTTGATCACAGTCTGGGTAAAGGTGTCATACCTGCTTTTGTTTCTGTACTTAGGCATCTTTTGCTAAATGAGACTGTTGTAACACACTATGTGTTTCACTGAAAATTGACTTCACGCTTATTTCCCTGACAGTGTATTATACTGTATATAAATCAAAGTCATTTAGAGGCTAAGGGTGTTGACGTTTACGGATATTATGAAGTATACTAACGTAAGACCTAATACCCACAGCTTCTATGGAATTCGTTCCGCGTAGACCAAAGGCAAAGCAAAACACCAGAATGGATCGTCCAAATTACGAATAATATTTCGGGACCCCATCGGAGTGCCAGGTGACTGCTTAGCTGGCTGGGAATCGTGCACGAACGAACTAACGTAATACGATGGTGTGCCAAAAGGTGAGGATGCTTGACCTGAAGCCTTCAGCTAAACAAATCGACCAAAACGGTGGGGTCAGCATTCAATATTCAGTGATGAATGCTATGGCCAATAATTCTGGGGAATTACCTGCCACTACAGTCGCCTACTGCTTTATCTAATGAGGCTGATGTCCCTCAGCGTTGTGCCATTTATGATTATCCACTTTCTTTCTTCTTACATGACTTACTCCATCCCTATGAAGCTAAATTTGGCGAGCGCACTGATAATTTGAATTTTTCGTTTCTATTACCTCTGGGTCTGAATGCTCCAAAAGGAATGGTTTTCTGGAAAGTAGGTTGGTTAGGCTACTTGAGCTACTTCGGTATCGCTTTCCGCTATCTTCCATCGGAATGATCGGCGTATGGACATCTAACTTGCCAGACTTGAGCTCTGGCCACGCTATCTGACAATTTTTCAACCTGGCCCACCTAACCTGGTGACAAGACTGTTGTAAGCACCACCTCAAATTGTGAAGGTAGAATGTATTCCTTAATGTTGATCAAAGGCATATTTATTAACGACTGTTTGACGAGAGTCCAGAGATACGCAGTCACACCACAATGCATAGCCACGCTTTTGTTCGTTGGAGACACAATTGTCCGCGATCTGATCCAGCCAGCGGAGATGAACGAATCTATTGTTGAAAGTAAAATGGCTGAGATTCAGTTAAATGGACGAGCTTCATTCACCTTCCTTTTTTACCAGAAATTAGCTGGTGGTTCTGGTCTAATTCTGATAAGCTAAATCTTTCTAAATATTAGGCTGTAAATTTCACATTCGGACACAAGCGAGACACGCTTGTGCTGGTTCGTTCCCGTGATTCTTGTACTTGTGAGGGGACAGAAGTAAAAGCTAACTCAAATGTCACATACCTTAGATTGCGTATTTCCTGTTTTTCCGAGTCATCACATATCATGTTTATTTCTGGAGAAATATTTCATCTAACCTTCTATTTACGGGAGTTCAGACTATCTGTTGTAATACAGTCTGTACTTTCATAGCCTGTTAGCTGTTGTATTTTTCTCTGTTGCTCCCCTTTATCTTTCCTGAATTAATTAAACCTTATTGATTCGATAAGGTGGGAGGGTGGTGATTGCTAGTCAGCGGATATGATGGTGGGGACATATGAGAACCACCCTTATCTACGGGACAGCACTCTATTGCTAAGGCTCCTGAGTTCGAATGGCTTCTGCAAAATAAGAGAATAAATAAAATTTTCAAAAAACAGAAGTTGAAAATTTGCCCAAAGCTGAAGTTTAAATAACAAACTCCCCGAATGCAAGTACATGGTATGAGTCCCCTACTTCAGAAGGACACCTAAATGTATACTTCAGAAAAACAGTGGTCAGTAATGATGAAATCCTGTAACCAATCAAATCCCTACAAACCAACACTTGAAAATTATTATTATAAGCTGTTAGTGTGGACAGTGATCTGCCTCTAGGACAACTTGTTGGTATAGTTGCTTGGAGACATTCGAAATAATGCAAGAAACTAGCAAAAATCGTCTTATTGGATTCCTAGCTATTATTATTGCCACTGCTGTTATTATTATTTGCCACTAAAATAGTGATTAGTAAAGGCTTGAGTCATTATTAAAGAACCAGTTTTCAGAAGGCTACAAATATAAGTCAATATGATGGGCAGCATACTCAAGTGCTGTTCAAAATAGGATGCCGATGGATACACTTTTGTTTGTAAGATGTTCCATTTACGGAAATACTGCTTTTGTTAGCGAGAGTATCAGGCGCTCACTTATACTCTAACTACTCTGTTAGATAACAAAATGTTTACTTTTAACTAAATATCACCAGTTTGGCTTACTTCGCCTGAAATCAAGGTGCATTTACTTGTTCGTGACAGCCGGATACTTTCAAAATCAAAATATCTAACTGGTCATATACACCACCGATTGATAAGGTCAGTTGTTAACCACTTTTGTCAATCAATAGTAATTACTAAGCTCGAGATTTTTTGTTTGCTAATTATGGTATCAATCAGGACACATTTCGTGATTTGAATATTTTAGGTCTTTGAAGGAAACCATGCTGAATTTTCACCTCACACTGTGTGATTTACCGAGAACTAGTTCACCGCTAAAATTTACTGTTCTTGGGAGTAATTTGATTGTATCGATAATCAATACTGGTTAGCAAATATACACAACGATCTTCTAATTTCTTGTTGCTTTGCAGTAATTGGTGTTTATGTATCTCTTTTCGAAATTTATATCATTCTCTAACTGAATGATTGAATTTCAGCATAGAACTTTGCACAGAGGTACAGCTATTCAGGTTGTCACACTCCATGTAGGACACAAACGTAGATAAATGAAAGAAAAAGGAGATACAAAAGAACCATATATAATGATCAGAAAGTTACGGGAGGAAGAACAGTAACGTGGTAAAAACAGAAAGATTTAATGAAGTCGGTAGATCGCGAAGAGTGAATGTATATGTCCTTGTTTGGAACTCCTCAGTGGTACGTGGCTCGAACCCAGGACCTTTCAGTTACAAGTCACCGAGACCCGATCCAATGGCCAGCACATGAATTCCAATTTCTTCCAATTCACGACATAGCGCGAACACTTCACGATGTCTTCTTCGATGAGTACCTGTCCTCGTCTTCAACCTGGTGCACTTTGCTGGTCATGGCTTCCTATCAGAACCCCAGGTTAACTGCCTGAATGGGGCCAGTCACTAGTGAGCATCGGATCAGTTTTCAAACGTTGGTTTTGTAGGGATTTTGTCTGATTGATCGAAGGATTTCGTCATGAGCTGACATCGGTTAGAGAACCAATGGAAAACCTGGGAGTACTGGACGGCTGTTTCGTCCCAAATTGGAACTCTTCTTCAGTACACACACACCGGGGCTAGAACTCAGGACTTTCTGGTTCTCTGACTGATGTTAGCTCATGATAAATTTCTCCAACTAATAAAAAAACCCTACAAAACCAATACTTGAATATAAATGCGCTACTGAGAAAGATTTTGAGACATATCACAAGCAGTCTTAAACCATTGGTTCTTAGTGTCTGGATCACCCTAACCAGACAGTATCTACATTCCTACTGGGCCCAAATATATAGTCAAAGACCTCACGGATTGATTTCAGGTTTTCACTTCTAACTTCTTTCCAACGTACTCCTGTGCTGGCTAACATTACTCGTTGAAGGAGATGATGGCCTTGGATGCGTAACACTTGCCCTAGACATCTTAATTGATATAACTTCATGGCCTCATGGACTGACTTCCGATCTTTACATGACACTGTGCCGTATTCCACCACAGGAAGTAAAACACAAACATTTGTGGTTAAAGACAGTCAGCCTTTCCATATCTTCCACTTTCGACGGTCATCTCTCACAGCCATAAATTGGGGTAAACAGAATTTCCACATAACATATTCTTTGTCTTAAATATTTCGACACTTTATTCACTTAATCTCATTCACGAATAAAACTGCCCAACTTCAGTTGTATATATATTATGCAGCTTTACAAGTAATTTTCATCCGAAACTAGCAGATTATAAGGATTACCAGACACAAGAAAGCTAAAGTGTTCCAAGGAACTTATTCACATAATGTAATTATTATTATAAATAATAATAAATGTTTTTACGAGTTGATCACGAATTGATATCAGTTAGAGAACCCCTGAAAACCAGGGAGTACTGGACAGCTGTTTCATCCTAGTTTGGGGATCATCGGCAGTACGCACCCACTGTATTCTACATAGTAGCCTTACTGCACTGAAGAAGAAACATAGATTGTTAAATGAAGAGGGATAATTCGATAGTGAAATGTTTCCGCTTCAGAATGACTGAAAGAATTCAAAGTTATTGAAGCAATGAATCAGGTCATTAATTTTCAGCTCGTTCATGAAGTGATTTCAATCGGAGAACCACTGCAAACCAGGGAGTACTGGATAGCTATTTCATCCCATCCTGGGACTCTTCATCAGTGAGTCAGGATCTAACCTAAGAATTTCAGGTTACAACGGGATATTGTTGGCCGTTCAGCCACTGGAACAGGATTCACTGGCCAATCCGTTCTGATTTTCGCCACTCGGGTATATATAGCGCGACTGTTAGGCAGTGTCATCTCCATTCATCTGTCCTCACACCAAACCCGATGGAACCTGCTAGTATCAACTTCTCATCAGGATTTCAGGCAGTTGCATCCTGTATTTGGTCGCTAGTGAGCGATGAATCAATTTTCAAGTGCTAGCTTGCAGTTTTGTCATGTAACACTTTATGACCGTGCTTTCTAGGGTGAGACTGAAACGTCATTTGTTCTCGTTCGATTTAGCAAATATCAAGTGAATTGAGATGAAATTATCAGTTTTATATTACAAGTTATTATTAATCCTATATGAAGATACACGCTTTGACTGATAGACATGGAAAAGGGTGAATACATAAATTAATTACCATAAAATTATACAAATACACGTATACTACTTATAAATTTGAAAGTAGTTCATTTAATTCTTATAAATATTAGCAAAAGATGTACATGTTTGATATGTATGGGTTACATTTCTTCAAACTTCCTTCTTTACTAATAAAATTTTGCTAATTGATTACAAAAATAGACAGATATATAATTCAAATTGAGGTAACATATTAAAACAAGGTGATGATAATAAGTTAGTTTTTGTAGAGAACATTAAAAACTATATTTATCTAGTCCAAGCATCTGTGAACCATGTTTAATTGGTATGCCAGTACGTCGATAAAATGATTCTTCAATAACACATTGACGTCCAAACCTCTTCGCATTGGATGACATTTTACTAATCAAATCAGCATGACCCCATCCATATTCCATTGAACTGAGTACAGGAAACTGGAATTTTTCTTCTACATTTTCTTTATAACGATTATGAAGATATTGATATCTGTAAAGTGAAAATAGAATTGCTAAAATGAAGTCTGTTTTGATGTAATGTCCAACTAATATTCATATAGTGAGTGTTAGTTCTAAGGTAAGTGATAGTTAGGCAGAGTATATGTGGAATAGCAGGGATCTTTAGCCTATGGAGGCGGTTAGTCTTTATTCCTTGTCTTTCATAGAGAGGAGAACTTCTGCAAAATTACTGTTGTAAATGTTTGAATTTAGATGTTTTTAGATTCAGGTATGTCTGGAATCCTGAGCTAGCTATAACATGGACAACATCAAGGTTTCCAGTTTCGAATTACCTTAGAGTTGGTTGACAACCTACCGTACAAGGTTAGACACTCCTACCAGACAATTGAGAATAAATAGTATCATGGAAACTGACACCAAGTTTTGAAACAAACATAGTGGCAAAAACTGGGACAATGACTGAAATTCAACTTCTGTAGGCTAATGATACGTGAAATTAGAAACTATACAATTCAAAGGAAGCATTGGACTAAGAGAAACTTTGAACTAGTAATTTTCGCCCGAAAGTTACAATTGTTAACACAAATGGCACCATCTATTGACTATCTGTTGGAGTAAGTGTTATTAAAATTGATAGGTTTATTAGAATATGATCGTATAATTCGATACTGAGTCCCATGCCATACTTCAGTGTCACAAAAATACTCCTATTCACATTCCAGTCTTTCTTGACGTCGTATACATCATTCTATATATATATATATATATATAAAATGACGACAAACTTTTCGTGATATAAGATGGTTGGAGGCAACCGACAGGCAGCCTTGGACCTAGGTTTCGTGCTAGTTGGCACTCGTCAGCAAGACGTATCTGCAACTTTAAAGGAATTAATATGATGGAATTTTCAGAATGCCCTACAGTACTGCATCTAACTCTCTCATTACAAGGGTGGTGATTAAAACAGGGCATTTACATTTATAATATTGTTCAATAATAATGTAAATATCAAATTAAATTAAGTAAAAATATTAACAATGTCATAATGAAAGAAAAATATGGCCGTTCATTTAGAGTTTCGGGATGAGCTGTCAGAGTCCTGCCTTATACCTTTCTCATCACATAAATGTGTCCCAGCCAAATAAGGTATTGCACAGCTTTTATACTTATTCGTTTTGTATACAAAGGATGCTCAGAGTCTGACAAGATAATATTTGCTAGATTCTTGTAGGAGTCCATGTGTCCATCTATCGGCGGTATTAACAAGTTGGTTTAGCGGCACGCCACTCACCTTACTGACAGCTTTCAGTGCCCTTCATAGAATAACAAGAACTTTCTTAAGTAGCTCAGGAAAGACTAAGGTGGGGGGTTGGGTGATCAATAAAGAAGAATAGGTAGAATACAAGGATTAGCAAACTTAGAAAGTAGAGACTGAGTGATACCAAAGTGTGTTAACTTCCTTACGTGGAACATTAAACAATATATCTGTACTATTTGTATTTTGAGTACTCAGTCATAAAGACCAATAAAAAACCGTACTAATATAAATGATAAGAATAATATAAGTAACAAGCAGTGGTTAGGACTCTCGCCGACCATGCCCATGGTTCGGGGTTCGATCCCCTGCCTACGCACACCTGATATTTATATTCGGCCTGCAAAATTTTGGTTACCGATATCACATGCTGAAAATTCCATACCTGCACCAAAAAATACGGTGTGGAATCAAAGCTGCAATCAAAAAAAAATAAAGAAAAAAATTACTACTACTGTGGTGACAGCTGTCTGCTAGCCAAAATTGGTAGACAGCAATTAACGTCTGTTTTTACGTCCCGAATCGGGGTCATAAGAAAAAACATGAACAAAGCCTAGCCTTGAGGAACTCAACAACCAATCACAGCAGACTTTGCGTGGGCGGATACGATTTGCAGATATATATCACCGGACTGTCTAAGAAACGGCAACAAAGAGATGACAGAATAACCTTCAGCAGCAAAACAAACAATCAAAAGGCGTTGCTTCTCTGCAAACAATAACACTAATAATAATGTACATAAAAATCTATAAAAATCTGTTAATTTTCTCAATAAACGATCTGTTGCTTGGCTCTTGTCTTCTATCGTTACACTACAACTATAAAAGGAGAAATATTGGAGGCTGTTACTTGAGATTCTTAACAAGATTGGAATTCGAGTAGTACTTGATCAACCAGCGGTCTCAAAGATAAACTTTGAGAGCTTAAATATCCAATAGATCTAATTCAGGAAAATAATATATTTTACAAAATACCATGTAATGATCGTTAGGTCAGTCACGTAGGTCAAACAAGTAAACAAGTGTCGGTTGGATTTTTATAACATGGGAATTGAGCCAGTTCTAGGATGACTTCCCCTATTAAGCTAGATAATCTCGGAAAATCTTGGCAGCTGCAATGTATTTGTTCACATGTAATCACAAAATACAATGTCATAAGGTAAAAAAATATTAAAAAGGATTAGTTTTAGGTGGAGAGAGGTGTCAGTTACCATCTCTCTGTCTATATGTCGAGTTCATACCAAATGTGTAAACTAACAGTGATGTAATACTAGTTCCAGTAAATATGAAAAACTGCCTTGAAAATGTTGTATGAATAAACTGATATGGTTATGAGCAGCGAATTGTTCTTGAAACCTTATCCAGTTATCAATACTCTGTCACTATGTGTTATATCCAATAAACTTACCTAATATGGAATTATATTTTACCACAGTGTCCCAATTCTACTCTTACGTCCTTTAAACGCTGTTATATAAATTTGAATAAGGCATTTAGAAGACAAATTTCGAGACATAATATTGTCATTTCGTAGTTTCCTTACAACCGCTTTACAACTAACATGGTTAACAATAATAAAACAAAATAGAGCACATGACAATTACTCAGTTAAATAAAAAACAAACGTACATACTAATGACCAGTCATATTTAGATAGGTCATGTATTCCAGGGTAGGCGAAGACTGAAATCTATTGTTATCACTGCACACATAGTTTAGGCTGTATGTGATATATCTCCAAAGTGCTCACCTTCAATAACCAACCTTGAATTAGAGTTATGTGAAATAATTGTGAAACAGTCATTAATTTTGATTTTGTGACCTGACATTAATAACTGCTTTGCAATGGATGATGCTGGATATCTATTAAGATTAATCGCGTTGGGATTTTCTATATGATTTAGAAGCCATTTTGGAACATGTTCTCTTCGACGACATTAGGACATTCTGTTAGTTCTACCTATTTAGGTGTCACCGCAGCTGCAGGTGAACATGTAGATACAGTTTGAAGTAGAGTCTGTAGAATTTCGTCCTTTAATCGTAGGTACAGGGATCGAAAATATTCGGCATGTGAGGAAAGAGATGCGGTGTAGAATGTGCGTCTGACGGCTGACCGAAGTCTTTGAGTTAGCTGTCAACTGCATAATCTGGTATATAAGTTTTTTGTCCTGAATGGAAAACAGGCCTTCTAAGTTTCAGTAGTCACCATCACTGGGCTTACTGTCAATTAGTAAACAAACTGAGGTTTATGAGCGTGTTGGCCGGGATTCGAACCCAGGTTAGCGAGCATCCTACCACTAAACCAACCAAGTATGCTATATCAAATAAATTCTGTCACAACAGTGTGAGTTAAGAAATTTTAAACCGAAAACAGTGGAGATAATATCAATAATAGTGACAATAATAAAGATATATGACTTAACATTGATCGGCTTAAGAAGTCATTTAACTATAATAATAATCTACTTTATTCCAAAGACAGTATTTATAATACAGAATGGAGTTCTCAGCATTTGTCACAGTGTTACATCTAATTTACTTAAAATATAAATAAAATTAAAAATTAAAACAAAATTAACCAGAGGAATTTGTCCACATTTACGATATAAAGTCAAAAATATTCGAAGTACAAAATGAGAATAATAAATATAATAATAATAATAATAATAATAACAGTGAGTTTGTTTCAAACAGTATTGTGGATTCAGTTTGGAAGTTTTAGCATGTTATAGATTATTAAATCTAATATTCTGTTGAAATAGTATAGTGAGGGGAAATACAAAATTAACAGTTATAACACAGCTTAAATGATGTTCACACTTATGAAAAAAATAAACAATATAAGAAGTACAATAACAATGAAGGTTGATGTTATAAGAGTGGAGGAAATGGTTTATTTACTAGTGCAAACAAGGTTAGTTCATGCCTAACACTATTTTCATCACATAAATTACGTGCCAAATATGGTACAGCGGAATTTTTATACTTAGACGTAAGTGCATAAAGTCTTCTGAAAAAACTTCTTGTTTTACCTGATGAGGAGACACAAGGTTGGAGCTGTCGGTAAATTGGATGCTCACCGTCTGACAGAATTCCTTTAGCAAATTTGTTGCATGAAATCAAGTGCCCATCATCAATGACGATGTCAACGATATGGGATACCACTCACCCTACTGACAGTCTTCAGAGTTCTAAAAAGTATGACATGGTAGTAAATTGTTTGTAGCTATGCTGTAAGTATGCGCACTTCCAGTTTCGTTCTACAAGCCGTGGATTACTTAAGCCAGAGTAATGTGTATTAGGCTAAAGGCATAAGCTTTTAGTAGGTTTTTGTCACATTTTAGATGGATAATTTTGAGTGACATAGTGAGAAGTAGGCGGTGTGGTTTCTCTTTTCAAGTAACTGGCATGAATAAGTTTTTTATAGTTTTTGGAGCTGATTAAAAATAATAATAATAAATAATAATAATAAAAATAATATTCAACTGTTCTAGAAATAATCCAATTATTCACAACAGAAACTGTGTACAGACATTTTTTAAAAGAGTTCAGACACATTGTAGCACTCCAGAGTTGAAAAGAATGGAAGAAAAGTACCTACAAACGGTCTTCAAAAAGAATGGTATCCCACAAAATTTTATCAAAAGTTGTCTAAAGTCGAATCAAAACACCAACAAAGAACCATCATCAAAGACCACAAGAAAATTCATCCTACCA